GGGGCGGAGGAGGAGGAGAGAGGCTCTTGCCAGTCCGAGTGCCAAGGCACTGATTGCGGCGAGGGCGCGAGCTCTGCTGGCCGGAGGACTTCTGATCTTCCTCCTCCTCCTCCTCCTCCTCCTCCTCTTCCTCTCGCCGCCAGCAGCCAGCCGGATCGCGGCGCCTGGAAAGAACCGGCGCCCCGTTTCCTGCCTTTCCTTAAGGAAAGCGGGCGGCGGGTGGAGGGCAAAGCCAGGGCAGGCGATGCTGGGCAGAGGCCCCTTGGTCCTCCCCTCTTCGCCAGCTCCGCGGCATCCCTCCCCCCCCCCACCACAAGAGGCCGGATCCCCCAAGTTCCCGGCCATAATATTTGTATTCTGTGTTCTTATCTATGGCTGTACCCCGCCCTGAGTCCTCAGGGAGAAGGGCGGTATATAAATTGGAAAATTAAATGAAATGAAAAATTAAGCGGGCCATCCGATCCCCGCCGGCGGGGGTCGCTGCTCTTGCAGACCCTCGGGGGCTGAGACGGACGGGGCGGGGGGGGGCTCCTGCCGGGGGACCGCGGGGCGCCTCTTTGCCCGGGCAAGAGGATTTGGGTACCTCCGTCCGTCCCCCCCGTCCCCCCCCCCTCCACTGGAGGCCTCTGGGCTGCTTTCCCACTCCCGCTGACCCTTCGCTGGCCTCCGCCTCCGAGGAGCCGCTCCGTTCCCCTGGCAAGACAGGGACGGAATTGGGAGGAGGACGCGGGGGGTGAGTGGGTGGGTGGGCAACGGAGGACAGCTCCGTCTCCCGTCCCCTCGCTTGGATTAGCCGAGCCTTTTTGGCACCCTCCCGGGGAGAAACAATGGCTGGAAACGGCCCGGGAGCCCCGAAAGTTCCCCGAGTTGGAGGGCCAAGCTTTCCTCCCTCCCTCCCTTTCATTTCCCCATCGTCCTCCTCCTCCTCCCATTGTACCCCTTTGCCCCCGGACAGCGCCTTTCTCTCCCTCCCGCGCATCCATGAAGTTGACAATAGAAAGCCAGATAAGTAGAGAGAGACTTCAATCGGAACAGCAGAGAGAGGCATACAACGAGCCTCCCCTTCTCTCTCTTTCTCTCTCTCAAAGGGATTGTTTCCTCCCAGTTTTAATTCCTTCTCTAAAAGAAAGGCCTTACTCTTGGCAGAGTAGTCCAAAAGCTTTTTACAGATAGGCTCAGGGAGGAGGAGGAAGAAGAGGAGGAGGAGGAGAAAAGAAGAAGAAGAGGAGGAGGAGGAGGAGGAGGAAGAAGAAGAAGAAGAAGAAGAAGAGGAAGAAGAAGAAGAAGAAGAAGAAGAAGAAGAAGAAGAAGAAGAAGAAGAGGAGGAGGAGGAGGAGGAGGAGGAGGAGGAGGAGGAGGAGGGGGAGAAGGAGGTGGTGGAGGAGGAGGAGGAGGAGGAGAAAAGAAGAAGAAAGGGAGGAGAAGGAGGAGGAAGAGGGGGGCATCATCATCATCATCATCTCAGGTCCTTGGAAAGGACTCCTTTCTAGGTAGACAAAAATACCAAATCCAGTCTGAACATCTGGCTGACTTTGCGACGAATCAATAACAAAAATAATAACTGAAATAAAAGCAAAAATGAATTCACACACACTTTTTTTTTCTTTTCTGCAGAAGCACACACAGTTGAAAGTTAGAACGGTGTGAAAAGAAAACTCCTTGCCACTTGGGAAATGGAGAAAGGGAAATCCCTTTCTCTGAACGATATGACTTAAAGCCGCCAGGAGGAAATCCCCCCTTAATTTCATTTCAAAAATACTGAGCCTCGCAGCAGCCATGCTACTTTATGGAGAAATCCCCAGAGATACCGGAGATCTTTTTAGCTACCTACTACCCCGAGGATGGTTACGCTCTGGGATTCTTTACTAATGGCTTCATGCTGAAAATGAAAAATTCGCAACCCAAACGAAAATTCGCAACCCGCCTTTCCAAGTCAATTGGCTGATGTTTCCCACGGATTCCATCCCCCTCCTTGCATTTCCTTGCAAGGAACATTGGGGGTTTGATTCTCCCAAAAATGACTCCCAGGTAGACCAAATTTTATTTTATTTTTTATAATTTTAATTTGATTTATATGCCGCCCTTCTCCGGAGACTCAGGACGGCTTACAATGCACTAAGCAATAGCCTTCATCCTTTTGTATATTTTATACAAAGTCAGCTTATTGCCCCCACAAACTGGGTCCTCAATTTACCTACCTTAGAAAGGATGGAAGGCTGAGTCAACCTTGAGCCTTGGCGAGATTCGAACCTGCAGTAATTGCAGGCAGCTGGTCTTAATAACAGGGTGCTTTAGACCACTGTACTACCAAGGCCCTCCACCCCCCCCTCTCTCTCTCTCTCTCTGTCTCTCTCTCTCTCCCTCTCTCTCTCTCTCTCTCTCTCTCTCTTTTTCCAGTGAGAGGGCTGCTTGGAGAGTAAATAGCTGATGCATTTATGGAACTGGTGGTGGGTGAGACTTAAACATTTGGCCCGTGAGGCTTTCTCTTCAGCCGCTGCCAACACTGTTTTCCAGCCATGGGAATTGGGCAGTTTTGGTTGGCAGCCCTCGGGATATTTCACTCTGAAGTTTTTTGGGTGGTGACAGGCTGAAGGCTTCATCACTGCAGCCTTCTGTGTAAGCTGACATTTAGCAGATCTGTTTTCTGACATTAGGAAGACTGGCTCTCTATAGGCGTGCAAGAATATTCTCCTTTTCTTTCCCTCCAGCAACCACCCTGACTAGGTGGCTCAGT